AGAGATAGAAGAGAGAATCTCTTGTGTTGAAGATACTACAGAAATAGATTCATCAGTCAAAGAAAATGTTAAAACGAACATATTTTTAACACAAACATCCAGGAAATCTAGGACACCATGAAAAGACTAAACCTAAGAATGATAGAGATAGAAGAAGGAGAAGAACTCCAGCTCAAAGGCACAAAAAAACATATTCAACAAAATCATAGAAGAAAACTTTTCCAACCTAAAGAAAGATATTGATATGAAGGTACAAGAACCTTAAAGAACACCAAATACTCTGGGCCAAAATGGAAAAAAAAAACCCTTACAATATAATAATCAAAATGCAAATAATACAGACTAAAAAAGAATATTAAGAGTGGATAAAGGAAAAATGCCTAGTAACATATAAAGCCAGACCTATCATAATTACACCTGACATCTCAATTAAACCATGAAAGCCTGAAGATCCTGAAATGTGCTGTAGACAGTACGAGACCACAGATGCAAGACCTGACTACTATATTCAGCAAAGCTTTTAATCACAATCAATGGAGGAAACAGGATATTCCATGAAAAAAAACAGATTTAAACAATACATATTCACAAATCTAGTCCTTACAGAAAGTATTAAAGAAAAACTCCAACAAAAGAAAGCTAAATGCACCCACAAAAACACAGGCAACAGATAAACTATCACAAACAAATCCCAAAGACGGGAAACACACACACATTACCACCAAAAAATAACAGGAACTGACAAACACTGGTCATTAATATCGCTAATATCAATGGACTCAGTTCACCTACAAAAAGACACAGGCCAAGAGAATGGATATAAAAGCAGAATTCATCCTTCTGCTGTATACAAGAAACACAACTCAACCTCAAACACAGACAGTACCTCGGAGAAAAGGTGGGGAAAATTTTTCCAATCAAATGGACCTAAGAAACAAATGGATGTAGGTATCCTAATATCTAACAAAATAGACTTCAAACTAAAATCAATCATAAGAGATGGAGAAGGACACTTCATATTCATCACAGGAAAAATTCCATCAAGATAAAGTTTCAATCCTGAACATCTATGCCCCAAATACAAGAACACCCACATATGTAAAAGGGATATTATTAAAGCTTAAATTGCATATCAAACCCCACACCCAATAATAGACAATTTCAACACCCACTCTCAGCAATGAACAGGTCAACCAGACAGAAACTTAACAGAGAAATAAGAGAACTAACAGATGTCATGATTCAAACATACTTAACAAACATCTATAGAACATTCCACCCAAACAAAAAAGAATATACCTTCTTCTCATCACCTCATGGAACCTTCTCTAAAACTGACCACATAAATTGGAATAACCCCTGGTATCTTTTCAGCTCACCATGGTTTAAAGTTAGAACTCAACAAAAACACTACTTACAGAAAGGATACAAACTCATGGAAATTGAACAGTGAACTATTGAACCACCTCTGGGTCAAGGAAGAAATAACGCAAGAAATTAGAATTCAATGAAAATGAAGGCAAAACTTACCCAAACCCTTGAGACACTATGAAAACAGTGCTAAGAGGAAAGTTCATAGCACTAAGTGCCTACATAAAGTGGAGAAATCTCACACTAGCAACCTAACAGCACACCTGAAAGTTCTAGAATAAAAAGAAGCAGACTCACCCAGGAGGAGTAGATGACAGGAAATAAATCAAAATGAGGACTGAAATCAATAAAATAGAAACTAAGGAAACAATACAAAGAATCAATGAAACAAAGAGCTGGCTCTTTGAGAAAATCAACAGGATAGACAAACCCTTATCCAAATAATCAAAAGGCAGAGAAAGAATAAACAAACTGATAAATCAGAAATGAAAAGGGGGACATAACAACATAGACACTAAGAAAATCCAGATAATCATTAGGTCATAAGTAAAAACCTATATCCACAAATTAAAAAACTGTAAAAGAAATGGATAATTTTCCAGATAGATACCACATACCAATATTAAATAAAGACTAGGTGAACAATTTAAATAAATAGACCTATAACATCCAAGGAAATAGAAGCAGTCATCTAAAGCCTCCAGACAAAAAAAATATAAAAACCCAAGGCCAGAAGGTTTCAATGAATACTCCTACCAGAACTTCAAAGAAGAGCTAATACCTATACATACTCCTCAAAGTGTTACACATAATAGAAACAGAAGGAACATTGTCAGACTCTTTTTATGAAGTCACAGTTACCCTGTTACCAGAACCACACAAAACTCCACCAAGAAAGAGAATTATAGACCAATCCCCCCCGTAAATATTGATGCAAAAATACTCAACAAAATACTAGCAAACTGAATCCAAGAAAACATTTTAAAAAATCTATCATAATCAAGTTGACTTCATCCAAAAGAGGCAGGGATGATTCAACATATGAAAATCTATCAATGCAATCCACCAATCCACCAGATAAATAAACCAAAAGAAAAAGCATATATTTATCTAATTAGATGATGGAAAACCATTCAACAAAATCCAATACCCCTTTTTGATAAAGGTCTTAGAGATATCAGGGCTACAAGGAACAATAGTAAACATAATGAAAGCGATAAATAGCAAGCCGACAGTCAACATCAAATTAAATGGAGAGAAACTCAAATTGATTCCACTTAATTCAGGAACACAAGGCTGTCCACCCTATCCATATGTATTCAACATTGTTCTTGAAGTTCTGGCTGTATCAATAAGAAAACAAAAGGAGATCAAGGGGATTCAAATTGGAAAAAAAGAAGTCAAAGTTTTGTTACTTGCAGATGACATGATAGAACATATAAGTGATCCCAAAACTCTACCAGGGAACTCCAACAGCTGACAGATGCCTTCACTAATGTGGAAGGTTACAAGTCAATGAAAAAAAAATAGTAGTCCTCCTATATAAAAATGATAAAGAAGCTGAGAAAGAAATCAGGGAAACATCACCTTTCACAATAGCCACAAATAACATAAAATATCTTGGGGTAACACCAAAGAAGTGAAAAACCTGTTTGACAAGAACTTTAAATCTTTGAAGAAAGAAATGGAAGAAGATGCCAGAAAATGAAAAGATCTTCCATGTTCTTGGATAGGTAGGATCGACATAAAGAAATGCAATCCTACCAAAAACAATCTATAAATTCAAAGCTATCCCCATCAAAATTCCAACACGATTGGAATAATCAATATTCAACTTCATAAGAAAAAAGGAAAAAACCCGGGATTCCAAAACAATCCTGTATAATAAAATAAATAAAAAAAACTATTGGAGGTATTGCCATCCCTGACATCAAGCTCTATTACAGGGATACAGTAATGAAAACAACTTCGTATTGGTATAAAAATAGACAGGTTGACCAAGGGAATTGAATCAATGACCCGGATATTAATCCTCACACCTATGAACACCTTATTTTTGATGAAGAAGCTAAAATTATGCAATGGAAAAAAGAAAGCATCTTCATCAAATGGTGCTGACATAAGTGGATGTCAACATGTAAAAGGGTACAACTAGATCCACTTCTATGCACAAAACTCAAGTCGACACAGATTAATAAACCTCAATATATAAATCCAACCATGCTGAACCTGATAGAAGAGAAAATGGGAAGTAGTCTTCAATGCTTGGGCACAGGAGACCACTTCCTAAATATAGCCCCGGTAGCACAGACACTGAGAGCAACAATAAATAAATGAGACCTTCTGAAACTGAGAAGCTTCTGCAAAAGAAAAGACACAATCCACAAGACAAAAAGGCTGCCTGCTGAATGGGAAAAAAATTCTTCAGCAGTCCCACATCAGACAACGGACTGATCTCCAAAATATATAAAGAACTCAAGAAATTAGACATTAAAATACCAAATAACTCAATTAAAAATTGAGTACTGAACTAAACAGAGAATTTTCAACAGAAGAATTTCAAATGGCAGAAAGGCACTTAAGTAAATGTCCAACATCCTTAGCCATTGGGGAAATACAAATCAAAATGACTCTGAGATACTATCTTATACCTGTCAGAATGGCTAAGATAAAAAACACCAATGATAGCTTATGTTAGAGAGGATTCAGAGCAAGGGGGATACTCCTCCTTTGCTGGTGGGATGCAAACTTGTACAACTACTCTGGAAAACAGTATGGCAATTTCTCAGAAAACTGGCAATTAACCTACATCAGGACTCAGCCATGCCACCCTTGGGAATACATCCAAAGGATGCTCAATCATAGTACAAGGACATCTTTTCAACTATGTTCATAGCAGCATTATTTATAATATCCAGAACCTGAAAATAACCTAGATGCCACTTAACCAAAGAATGAATAAAGCAAATGTACTACATGTACACAATGGAATACTACTCAGCGGGTAAAAAAAAATTTACATCTTGAAATTTGCATGCAAATGGATTGAACTAGAAAAGAAATCCTGAGTGAGTTAACACAGAACCACAAAGATGAGGATGGTATGTTCTCACTCTAAGTGGATCCTAACTGTAAAGCAAAGGATAGCAAGCCTATAGTCTACAACTCCAGAGAAGCTAAGTAACAAGGAGAAACTTAAGAATAACATATATAGATCCCCCTGGGAAGGGGAAATATACAAGATCTCCTGAGAAAATTAGGAACATGGGTGTTTGGGGAGAAGGGAAAGCAGAAGGGAAAGAGCAGGGCAGAAGATGGGAGGAGAACCTGAGAGAACTGGACAGCCAAGATTGGAGGAGGTCAGAGACAGAGAGCAAGGAAAGAGATATCTTGATTGAAAGAGTCATTATGTGGCTAGCAAGAAACCAGGCGTCAGAGAAAATCCCAGGAATCCGCAAGGATGACCCCAGCTAAGACCCTAATCAATGGGGAAGATGGTGTCCAAACTGGCCTTACCCTGTAGTCAAACTGATAAATATCTTAAATATCACCATAGAACCTTCATCCAGCTACTGATGGAAGCAAGCCAGAGAACCAGAGCAGAGCACTGGACTCAGCTCCCAAAGTACGGTCTAATTGTGGGATGATGCTGGCCACGGCTGCTCTTTCATTCTCTGTTTCCCAGACCTGAAAGAGTCACACAGAAACTATTTTATCTGCAATACTGTTTGGCCAATAGCTTAATCGTATTAATAGCTAGCTCTTATATCTTAAATTATCCCATTTCTATTAATCTGTGTATCTCCATGTTTTTGTAATCTACTGATAAGATTCCTTCTGACATTTGTCTCCTGCATTTGTCTCCTGCTTTGGCTCCATGGCTTCTTCTTGGCTCCACCTACTCTTTCCTCCTCTGTTTGTTTGGAATTCCCACCTTGCCCTATTCTGCTAAGCCACCGGCTGAAGCAGCTTTATTCATTAACCAATAAAAGCAACAAATAGACAAAAGGACTTCCCACACAAGGAAGAGTAAGAAAATGAGCAAAGAGATCAAAACCATGATGAGATTATTCACTGAAACAGCCTACCTGATCTAATGGGAGCTCACCATATCTGGCCAGACAGGAAAGGAACCAGCATGGAACCAAACTAGGCCTTTGAAATGTGGATGATAGTTGTATGGCTAGAGTGATGTTTTACAAGTTCTAAAGAACCATAGATGCAAAGTCAAACTGCTATACCCAGCTATCAGTCATCATCAAAGAAGAAAGACAAAGTTTCCATGATAAAAACAGATTTAAGGAATTTATGTCCATATAACCAGACCTACAGTAGATACTAGAGGGAATACTTTGGGCTGAAGAGAAGTTAAAATTTAATATCCAGGAAAGCACAAGGAATACAAAATCCCAAAACAGCTAGCCAAAAGCAATCTAAGAAACAACAACACCACAACATACAACAGGAATTAATGCCCATTACTCAATAATGCTCAGTGCCAATGTTCTCAATTCCCCAATAAAAAGACATGGACTAATGGATTGAATTTAGAAGACAAAATCAACTGTTTTCTTTGCCTCTAAGATACACACCCCACTATCAATAGATACCACCTTAGGGTAAAAGGATGGAGATGTTTGAAGTAAATATTTAAAATCACAAATATAAATTTGGGATACAAATAACAAATAGACAAAAATTATATCTGTACTGTATTTCTTCTGTTGGTTTGGAAGTTTATCTTTCAAAGGCATAGTTCTATTTCATCTTGGTTATTAAACTTTCTAGCATGAAGATATTTATACTATTACTTTATTGTTCTTGCAATCCCTGCAGGACATGTGGAGTACCAACCCTACATTCTTCACATAGAAACCTTGCCTGGTCCACCTTGTCCCTCTCACTCTTATTCTGGTTGGACTTAATTAGTGATTTTAAATATTCTATGATTTACTTCAAAGAATGAAGCTCTGCTTTGTTTATTTTTACTTTGTCTCCATCCAGATTCTTTGATTGACTTAATACATATCTCTTGCAAGCATACTCAAATATCTTCCATTTTATTCAAAATATGATTTACCCTTTAAAATTAGGTGCTTACACAATTAATTTTATATTTCTTTCAAATAATAGCATTTTAAGACTGTATTGCATGAGGTTTGATAAGATCTACTATTTTATTTTATTTTTCTGCAAAATGCCTTCAAATTTTGTTAGCAATATTTTCTATTAACAAATCAATATTTAAAATGAGTTCTTTACAGCTACATGTTAAACTTTTTTGATAATTTATTGGTTCTTTTGTTATTTATTTCTCATTTACTCTGTGACTGAAGAACATTACCTATATTTCCCTGTTTGTAAAAAATTTTGAGATTGAGTTTACTCTCCAGAAGAATTTCTATCATGACAAATTCCCCATGTGCACAAGAAAGCAGTGTGCATCCCACAAGTGCAAAATGGAAAAGCTTGCAACAATTAGTCAGGCCCAATTTGTTCATGAATGGACTTATGTAAATCTGAACTTACTGCTATTTTTCCATTAATCACTGAGACAATGATGGTAGAACTTACAACCATGGTTGTGTTCCTTCATTATCTTTTTGTTGATTGCATGTTTTCCTACATTTTAAAACTACCATAGTTCCTACACACACATATACTTACTGTGCCTTCATTTATTAGTCTACTTGTATTATTCAATATCATTAGCTTTTTTTGAAATTTTATAGTTTTGAACTTAAGGCTGTCTCTATGTCCCTAAATTTTATGATACAATTAATCATAGCTGAAGGCTCTTTAAAAAAAGTTTTATAATTTAATAAACTTTGAAAAAAAATTAAATTTTAAGATGTAGGTTAATAAATATTGATTATGAAATTGTGCTTAGTTTAGAAATATAGAGAGTTCTACGGTTTTGGTGTGATGATTTTGCTATTTTAATCTTCAATAAAAATTAGAAAATTATGCTTACTAACTTTGGGAATGTAATATTCAAGGGAAAATGTTTATTGAAGGACAGGCCAGGGCGAAGTCAGGGAATTTGAATGTGGAAGACAGGATGATGAGCTGAATCAGGCAGAGAAGGAAAGGCAGAAAACTAAATTATTTAGAACATGATTTGAGCCTAAAGAAAAAAAAAGATGTAACTATTATGGGTAAATAAGAATCTTTTTAGAGAGAAAAGTAGAATACAAACTTATATTGTTAGTTATGAGTGGAAATCAAGGACACAGTTGTTAGGAAGTTACTAATATTTCCAGTTTGTCCAGTAAAGGTGGGCCAGACTCTATCATCTTTTCAAAATGATATCTTTCTTGTTTTATTCCTCACCTTCTAATCATGCACAGTGAAATAGTCTCAGGACTAAACTGATTTTTGAATCTGTTATTACTCTCTTGAAAGCATTCTCCTTTATTCTGTCCAGATAATGCCAGCTTGCTGTTTAAAACCCAAGTCAAACTTTGTCTCCAATAAACCATCCGTTCTCTATGGCAGAGTGTTTGAGTGCTATCCTAAAATTAGGAATTATCATATTGACTTTGAATAATTTGATTCTAATAAGTTGCATTCCACAACTCATGAGAGTGAGTAGGCAAAGGCCTTGTTTGCTTACCTTCTAAAATCCCAGCAGCCAATGTGTGAAGTGGTTGTAAGTTATTGGGATAACTCAAGAAAACAAACTTGAGGAAACACCTAAAGCATGTCCTAATGCTGCAACACTTCAATACAGTTCCTCGTGTTATGGTGACCCTCAAACATAAAATTATTTTCATTGCTACTGCAAAACTGTAATTTTGCTACTTTTGTGAATAGTAATGTAAATTTTAATGTATTTATCCATGTTTTTCCGCTGATCTGTGATGTGATGTAGGATGTCCTTCTGTATATGTGTTTCTTTTGTTTGCTAATGAATAAAACTGTTTCAGCCAATGGCTTAGCAGAGTAAAGCCAGGTGGAAAATCTGAACAGAGATATATAGAGAGAGTAGGAGAGTCAAGGAGACACCATGTAGCTGCCAAAGGAAAAAAATGCTCAGAACATTATCTGGTTAGCCTCAGCCTCGAGGTGATACACAAATTCATAGAAATGGGTTAATTAAAGACATAAGAGCTAACTAGGAATATGCTAGAGTCATTGGTTCAACATTGTTGAAGTTAATATAGTTTCTGTGTGATTATTTGGGTCTGAGTAGTCAGGAAACAAACAAACAGTCTCCATTTACAGAGACGACCTTGAATGAAAGGGTCATTTGACCCCTCAGGGAGTTACAACCTACATCTTGTGAACCACTAGCCTAAAAGATGTAAGCACATCATCCTTTCTTCTATCATTAGCTTTGTCCAGGTCTGGATATAATACTTCTTCAGATACATTGATCTTGCTTTGGATGATGCATTATGATTTGTAATATAGATGACAATGTTTGCAAAAATTATTTCAATGCCCTTGACAAATTTATGTCCTGCATTAAAAAATTTAAGGAATAAGATTCCTCAGGATGGAAATACATAAAAGAACAATAAATGGACGTGTGTGTGTGTGTGTGTGTGTGTATAATAACATATACAATATAAGTATACATATATAAATTTATACATACACAAGTATACACATGTATATCTGTATAAAACATACAGTTCTACTCCTATCCAATAAAGCATTCAATATGATCTCTAAAAAAAAAAAGTTTGGTTTTAATCTACTTAAACTTTGTCATTATTGTAAACTTGATTTTATCTCTGTGGTCTCAATATTTCTTTCAATTGGTCCTTTCTATAATTTCTTCTACTGAGGGTCAGTTTGACAACAAAACTATTCAGAACAAGAGTGTTTTCCTCCATTGTTACATATTCAACTCGTCTCATGACTCATGATTGACCAACAGATTCGTTTCACTTTAATGCTAAGATGGAGGCCTGACCCTGTCCATAAATTCATCTCAAGACCCTTATCACCACAGTTAGACTTCTTTGTCCTCAGAAGTAATTTCTCCTGGACTGTTTGCATTTCCCAACATGGGAACCCACATAACAACTCCACTCTGCTTCATATTCATAGCTCCTCTGGCCCTTTGTTGGTTCTTCAGTTCTGGGGTTCAGACTGGAATCAGCCTGGCAAGTGAATGAAAGCAATGGGGACTTTGGATTTCAGTGCTTTTCATCATGGTGAAAACTGGAGATGTAACAATGTCAGCTTATAGATAAACGTTCTTCATGGGAAACATTGCAGTGAGTGGTGTTAAGTAATTTATTACTAGCATGACAATTACTGTTAAGGCATCATTTAAATTTTGGTATGACAATCACTTATACCTATTGTTGAATACATTTTATATTCTTAGTACTCATGAGTTTACTTCTCTCCTCTCAATTCTATCTTCATAGACTTTCTTTATTTCTTCATGACTACAAAAGATATGTGAAACCCTAGCTTCCCAGACCCAACATATATTAAATAACTGCATGAATAATTTGGGACATTTTGTTGAAAATGTAGCATATCCATAACATGTATGAGGCTTTGGTTTTAATTGCCGCCTAAGCTGATGCAGAAATTTTCATCACAGGGTTATTAAAACCTTCAGATGGAATCGCTGGATAAGTCATCCATAGTTTTAATATCAAACAAGAATTTGAAAAAATAATATACCGGATGATTTCTATAAAACATTTATATAAAAATGAAGTTAGACTAAGTCAAGAGGAAAGTGCATTCTTGCCATGATATCTGTGCAGCTTGACCCTGGACAGTGCATCCCTGAAAGCCTGGTGGACCTGCTTGTTGCGCAGGGTGTAGATGACAGGGTTCAGAAGCGGTGTCACTACCGTGTTCACAAGAGCAGCCTCTCTGTTGGTGTCCAGCCTGCTTGACTGCTTTGGCTTAATGTATATAAATATACAACTGCCAAACATCAGCGAGAGGACGATGAGGTGAGAGGAACAGGTGGAAAAAGCCCTCTGCCGCTCCCTGGCTGAGGGCAGACGCACTATTGTGACTACTATATTGCTGTATGCAAAGACGGCTATAAGAAGGGACGCAAAAAGCACAATTAAAGCAAAGTTAAAGAACAGCATTTTGATAGACCTGGTTTCAGAACAGGAGAGACTTGCCAGTGGTCCAAAGTCACAGAAGAAGTGAGGAATGACATTGGGGCCACAGTAAAATGACCGGGAAAGCATTACAACTGGAATGGCCATGAGGAGGAATCCCAGAACTAAACAGACAGTAACGAGAAAGATGCACATCCTTGGGTTCATGATGGTGTGGTAATGCAGAGGTTTGCAGATGGCCAGATACCGGTCCAGAGACAATACAGCAAGAAGAAAGAAAACAGTTGCCCCCAGGAAAAGAAAGACAAAGGCTTGGGTGAAGCAGGCTCCAAAGGAAATCTTTTGCTTCCCTGAAAGAAAGATGGTCAGCAGCTGAGGAATAACAGTAGTTATAAAACAGCACTCGACAAAGGAGAAGGTGCTGAGGAAGAAGTACATGGGTGTGTGTAAGCGATGGTCCTCGCAGGTCATGGTGATTATGAGCATGTTGCCCACAAGGGAAGCCAAGTAGGCCAGCAAGTGCACTAGAAATAGGAGGATCCCCAGGTGCTCAGCTGCAGGGAACCCCTCGAGGATAAACTCCTGGATGGCTGTCCCATTCCTGGTGACCTCTGTCATCAGCATGTCCACTTCTTCAGTCTGTCACTGAGGGGTTTGCAGAACTGTGACTGAAAGGTGGAGAACTGTGTGTTACTAAAACTGTGAGTGACACAGGAAGGCAATCGGGCTTGTAGTCAGTACATTCAATATGCCATTTTATCCATTGCTAAATAAAATTAAAAAAAATTAGACTATGACTGTCTTTACATTGTGTGTACCCTAAAATACTGACTGTAGAAAACTTACATGTGCCACACGCCTCCATTAGGGAAAATGTCATTCATCAGTGTTGATGATTTAACCATGTGGCTCACTATTTAATCATTATACATATTTCTGATAAAATAGCTTTCAAGCCATACAGACAACATTGCAAAATGAAAACAACAACTTGAAAATCATCCTGGATCTGGGGGTATCACTCAGAGGTAGAATGCCTCTCTAATATGTTCAAATCTATGTTTTTGGTTCCCATCTTTGCATTAAAAGAAAACAGAATAAACCAGAGAAACCAAAAGTTAACTCATAGATACTAGAGAGTTGGCTCAGCAGGTAAAGGTATTTGCTGTTTATACAGAAGTCCTGGGATCAGTTTCCAGAACCCACATGGCAACCCATAATCATCTGTACCTCCATTTCCAGGGAACCCAATGCCCTCTTCTGACCTCCCAGGGCACCAGGCACATGGATTGTATACATATACTCATGAAAGCAAAACACTCAATACACGATGAATAAAAACTAATCTTCAAAAGTATTAACTGTCAGAAGGGATTCATCCCACAAAATATATTCCTTCATCATACCTTAGCATTTATGTCCATGTTTGGCCATGTTATTATCAGCAAAACATCCTGGAGTCCCGGAGCCCCATCTGCAGTCCTATGAAGTGAGTTAGATCAGAAGAGTCACATAAGCAACTCTAGT